CTGGGTCCCGCGCCACTGGGTCCCGCGCCACTGGGCATGACGTAGCAGTGACAGCAGTGACCTGTAGAGTCACAAGGTAGACGGGGGATATTGAATGTTCCCAACACAATGAAATAATACATGTTTGAGGTGACTGATATCTAATTACCCTGATCACTGCACTGAATGCGTACAATTACTATTTGTCAACTAAAAAAAATTTTAAAGCCACATTTTAATAGAACTTCAGTACTTAAAAATAAATCTTGGTCCTTTTCAGAATTTATGTTCTCTATTGTAGATGAATAGCTTTTTGGCTTATTTTTTATTTTCAACCAAGTATTTGTTTTAATTTCTGAAATATGTGTTTATAGATAGCATTTGGAAGGAATTATTTGCCATATGAATACTTTAGCTTTGCCTCCTTCCCCTTTTTCTCCCCCTTTTTTCTCCCCCTTTTTCTTTTTCATTTACATGGTTCTAGTATTTAGTATTTATTTTTGACAACATTTTTGGCAGCAGGATTTAAGTGCTTAGGCATTCTCAAGTCTTGGGCACTTGATCCTGTGTTGTTAATACTTTTTGTCCCTCTCTGTCTAACCAGTTACTGTTGGAGGGAGGAGGGAACATTACTTCATTTATACCTTAGAGTGAACTTTAAGTTCAGAATATTGAGGTACGTCCTATTAGTAATTAAGACGTTTTTATCGATAAAATCTAAATAGGAATACATGATATCTTAAACTTGAGAAACCTTTACTATGAGAAATACCAGAATAATAACAAACTGTCAGGGTGTGGTGGCTCACATCTGTAATCCTAGCACTTTGGAAGGCTGAGGTGGGAGGATTGCTGAAGGTCAGTTCAAGATCACCCTGAGCAAGAACCTGGGTCTAATCAGACCCAGTCTCTACAGTAAAGAGAAAAAGTTAGCTGGGTGTGGTACACATGCTTGTCATCCCAGCTACTTGGGTGGCAAAAGTGAGAGGTTCCACTTGAGCCTAGGAGTTTGAGGCTACAGTGACATTCACTGCTCCGGAGACGGTGAGCGAGACCCTCTCTCAAATAAAGAAAAATAATTCTTGATTTTTAACGACTCTAATATATTGCTGTTTAACATCTCACACTCATCATATCCAAAACTGTCCTCTTCCCAGTAGGACCCTCCCTGGTGTTACTGTTTTCTCTCCTCTTCCCTTCTACTTTCTGGACTATAGTTATGTTTCACCATTTGTATGAATGTGTAGGTGATTACATATTGATTTCATAACAGTATTGAGTACACTGGATACTTTTTTCCCCCATTCTTGAGATACTTTACTAAGAAGTATATATTCCATCTCCATCCAGGTAACATAAAAGATGTGAAGTCTCCATCTTTTTTATGGCTGCATAGTATTCCATAGTGTACCTATACCACAATTTGTTAATCCATTCATGGGTTGATGGGCACTTGGGTTGTTTCCATGTCTTGGCAGTTATGAGTTGGGCTGCAGTAAACATTGTAGTGCAAATGTCTTTGTTGTAAAATGATTTTAGTCATCTGGGTATTATACCTAGTAGAGGAATTGCAGGATTGAATGGTAGGTCTACTTTAGTTCCTTGAGTATTCTCCAAACTTCTTCCCAAAAAGGTGCTATTAGCTTGTATTCCCACCAGCAGTGTAGAAGTGTTCCCTTCTGTCTGCATCCACGCCATCATTTTGCTTTTAATATACAATTTTGTATTTTTAGTTAACTGCTCATGACTGTATTTTTTTTTCTTCCCAACTGCATTACAAGTTTCTTGAAGTTGCAATTAGTTCTTATGGTCCTCTGTAGCTCCCATGTTCAGCATCTACATAATGCCAGGAAGATTTCAGATGATTGAAAGATTGACTGAATGGATACTACAGGTAGTCCCTGGGTTATGAATGAGATAGGTTCTGTGGGTTTGTTCTTAAGTTGAATTTGTATGTACTTTGGAATAGGTCCATTTACTTATGTTACCTGTAATAACCATTGTTTGTAAGTGTGAGTGGTACATAAGTCAGATGTTTGTAACTCAGGGATTGCCTCTATTACTTTGATACTTTTTGAAATTTAGGGAAAAAATGATAATAAATATTATCAATAGGAGTTAAATCACTATGGAACTATCTTAGAAGGAACCTCTTCAATCACTATATTGAAGTAATTTAGTACATTGGTAGTTTAAATAGTTCACCAGAAGTTTTAATTTTATATTTTAAATAAATATAACATTTTTCTTTTTGTCACCTCCTTTTTTATTTTTATTTTTTGGCAGCCGGTTCGAAGACAGTCCCTGACCCCACCTCCTCAGAACACTATTACGTGGGAAGAATATATATCTGCTGAAAATGGAAAGTAAGGGGTTTACTTGGTTTATATATGCTTTGGTTTTTAGAAAGAATAATTTGTAAAAACTGAGTATGTGACTTTGAGTATGATAACTATTGGTATAATTTTGTCTGAATTAATTTATCTTTTAAAAATATGAAACACGCATGATGTGAAAGGAGTATCCCAAATTATATACAGTCTTTCAGTGAGGTTAGAGAGGTGCCTCTACATCTCTCCTGCCCACACAAAACTCGAGACATTGTTCTCAGATAATATAAGGAGGGATTGCCCAGTGCAGTTGCGTATTGGAGATGTCCCCATTGTATGGTGAACTTTGTATTTCATTATTATCCTGATTCTCTAGCGCTATGTGAGGCCGTTCACCTTTCGTTTCCTCATTGCCTTTCCAAGGTCTTCTTTTGTCATTGTCCCTTTGTTTTAGCCAATGCTAGATGACATCTCGCCATCCTTCCCTAGGACCTTTGCTTCGTGTTTATTACCAGCATTTAGTAGAGTACCAAGCACATAGCTTGTACTCAGTATACATATCGACTAAAACAATGATGAATGAATATGAAAATGTTTATTTTTAAGAAAGTTTGTTCTTGCAAATCATTCTTTCCTTTGGTGGAGAATAAAATATTGCCTCCTTGCTTCTGTGTAGGAGGAAGTTTTCATCATTTTGTTTTTCTTATTGAAAGGCTTATTATATTTTGCTAACTTCTCCACAGTGTTTCTACCTTAATATTTCATAGTATTAAACAAAATTTATGGGAGGCCATTGTTTTGGACTAGGCTTCTTCTGTGCTAGGCTCCAATAGACCAGACAAATCCAGAATTTAGTCACTTCTGCTAAGTGTAATATAATCAGACTGAACTTGGATCAATTTTCTTTTTTTTTTTTTTTTGAGACGGAGCCTCAAGCTATCCCCCTGGGTAGAGTGCCATGGCATCACGCTCATAGCAACCTCCAACTCCTGGGCTCAAGCGAGTCTCCTGCCTCAGCCTCCCAAGTAGCTGGGACCACAGGCGCCCGCCACAACGCCTGGCCAGGATCAATTTAAAAAAAAAAAAAAAGAATAGGAGAATTGGAGTTGGCTTGTATTAGCACAGTAACAAAGTTCTCTCCCCATAAGGAAAGCAACTTTGAAAGGACTAGATAGATCACTTTTTGTTCCCTGTGTCTGGTTTCTTCATCCTTTTTCAGACTATAAAGCTAGCTGCCTCTGCTTAGCTCTTTGGTATACTCATTCTGGCTTATAGAATGTGGTATTGCCTTGTGCTAGGATTGCAAATAAAAGCCAATTAGAACTGGAAGCTAAATTTGTTACAGTTTTATCTTCTGACAATAGTTAATATGACGTTTTTTATTCTTCACAGTACTTTTCATTGGTCAGTGGTGAGACCATGGTAGACAGTAAAGGTGGTTAAATTGAACAAGTGACTTCAAAGATATATGATAACAGTTTTAAGTGGTTTTTCAGTGTAGTGATTTTCTTTGTTCTTAAAGATAGTGATTGCTAAAATTATATTTAATGTAGAATTATTGAGGTCTGGTAGTTTTTTTCTCAGATTGTTCTTGTTACCCTTGTTTTATATCTTACATAAATATTGTTCACTTTTAGCAAATTTTAATTTATTTTTATAGTTATAGTAAGAACATTGAAATATTAATGAGTGTTATTGGAAGAAGGCAGATTTTTCTTAGAAAGGTGACAGCCTGTCGAAATAACTTGCTGACAGTTTCTTTCTTTCCCATTTTAGAGCTCCTCATCTGGGCAGAGAGCTGGTGTGTAAAGAGAGTAAGAAAACATTTAAAGCCACAATAGCCATGAGCCAGGAATTTCCTTTAGGGATTGAACTGTAAGTTTATTACTAACCGTAAATGTTTATGGCAGAGGCTGTTAAGCACTAAAGGCTATAATAATACTTCTACATTTTAAGTGCCGCCTTTAAGGCCTTTGAATACAAAAGCGAAGCGCTTTAATAGTATGTGTACCCTTCTAGAATAATTAATTCTTATTACTTTAACGTGATACATTTTTGAATAGCTTTTTAACAATTATAAAAGTAATACATGAATGCATGCTTATTGTTAAAAAAGTGCAATAGTCACCATTTTGTTCTGTGAGTTCTTTTTTTCTTTTAAAAGTGAGTACATCTGAAAGTTCATACAGTATTTACATTTTCTTTTTCCTGGGTGATTTGTAGTATTGATATGTCTTTCTTTTTTACGTCTATACTAATAAACATTTTGATGATTTGTAGTTTGTTGCTATTGTAAACAGTATTGCAAGTGAACATTTTGATTGTATCTTCTCAAACCTATATTCACCAGGTACTTCCTTTAAAAGGAATCGATGAATCATGTGTTGCCCCTCTAGTAGGTTGGGGCAACATATAGATTATATAAAATATATAAATATACATATAGATGATATTATATACAATATATACTCATACACACATACATAAAATAAGTATACATAGTTATTTCTAGTTTGGAGAGAGAGAGAGAGTGGAAGATGAGTAGCTAGAGCTGACTCTGCTGTACCTGGAGCTTTAAGCTCCTTTTTAAAGTGGGGGAAGGAGGATGAATTGAAGTCCAGGCTATCTTGTCTTACTAGTTCTTTCCCTTTCCAGTCTAGACTAATACATTAAATGGGCTGTGGGAGAGATCGGCCTAAAATGTTAAAAAAATAAATATTCTCAGAAAATAGAGCAGGACCCAAATTTTTCAATAAACATCCATACATGTAGTGTTCTCCCTGACCTTGCCCTATACCCAGGCTTTAGAAGAGGAGAGAGGACGTTCTGTACAGTCCTCAAGTTAGGTCAGAAAATGTGGGAAGTGTGACAGCCTCGCGTACACGTCTGCCAATATCCATCATATCTGGGACCCAGTTGACTCAAAGATACACACATTTATATCCTGCTTACTAATAAAGAAGAAAACTGTGGCTAATTTTAAGATGACATCAATTTTGAGATTTAGCCCAATTTCAAATATGCTAGTACATGAAGAAAAGGTTTAAATGTATATACAATGTGTCTTTTGTAATCACTACCCCAAAAAGAAATTAAATAAAGAACATAGCATACAAATGCCAAACAAAGCATTCATTCTAAAAGAAAAGAAGAAAACTCCCTCTTAATGCTATGTAGAAAAACAAACAATCCCTCTTCCCCACGTGCCAAATAAGTAAAGTAGATCATTCTTGGATAATAGATGTAGTAGAATGAAATGAAAAGGAGATAGTAAAGCTAAGAAAATAAATTGAATGCTAAATAGCACTGTTATAAAACAAATGCATTAGAAACAACAATGAACAGATTAGATGGGACTAAAAATTATATTTTGACAGCTTATGCCGTGGAAAAAGACATTTAAGACATGAGAGAAACCATAGATACGATGGAGGACAGAGATGGTTCAGTGTTGAACCATTACTGTTCCACTTAAAAAGAGAACCTCCAGGGCGGCGCCTGTGGCTCAGTGAGTGGGGTACTGGACCCGTATACCCCCCAGCAGCGGGTTCAAACCTGGCCCTGGCTGAACTGCAACAAAAGAATAGCCGGGCGCTGTGGTGGGCGCCTGTAGTCCCAGCTGCTCGGGAAGCTGAGGCAAGAGAATCGCCTAGGCCCAGGGGTTGGGGGTTGCTGTGAGCTGTGTGACGCCACGGCACTCTACTGAGGGTGACAAAGTGAGACTCTGTCTCTACCTAAAAAAAAAAAAAAAAAAGAGAACCTCCAAAATGTAACCAAAATAGTGTTCAAAATATGATAGAAGAAAATTTCTTTGTAATGAAGATCTGAATCTATAACATTAGTTTCCAAGAAAAATTCGAACACTGATTAGTAACACAAATCATCCTCATTAAGCTGCTGGGCTTCGGCATTGTGGCTCATGCCTATAATCCCAGCACTCTGGGAGGCCAAGATGAGAGGACTTCTTGAAGCCTAGGGTTCAGTACAAGCCTGGGCAATATAGCAATACTGTCTCTAACACCCCCCCCCCCCAATCAGGCTTTAATTGTCAGTAAAGAAATTTAAAGGAATCCAGGCAGGAAAGGGGCAGAACCAACCTGGCTTTAAGTGTTTTCAGATGCCTCTTCATTTCTGAAGCAAAGAAAGTGCGATGTGATAGTATGTCTGTCGCTCATGTGTCAAGGCCACTGAAGACATTCTCAGAAGCAAAGACTTCACGAAATATAGCAGGCTTAGGCCTTTTTTGAAAAACAAATAATGATACTTGAAAATGAAATCTATCCAATCAGAAGATGAAAGAAGCCTCTTTGCGTACTTGCTCTGGTAATAGAGGCCTGTTCTCTATGGCGCATGTCTTTTGCTCTGTAAGCCTATATCTTGCTCTTAGTCTGTAAACCTGTGTTTCTCTTCCTCAATAAACTTTGTTACACGCTTGCCATAGAAAAAAAGCTGTCTCTCACTTTTTCTTCTGCATGAGAGGGACCCACTCCCAACTCCCTTCGGAAGTGCTCTAAACTTTCTCTTTGTTCTTCCTAAGTAAAATTTCTCTTTGTTACTCGGGAAAAAAAAAGATGAAAGAAGAAATTAGTATAATAACTAGTGTGATACAGAATGTTAGGAGACATTATGCAATTGTAGTTCAGAGGGAAAGATACGTCATGAAATTTTATGTAAGCTAAATTTCTCTTTAAGACAAGAAACACTCTTTTTTCAAATATGTAAGAAATCAAAGAATATTTAGTATATACATACACATGATAGGTTTTCAGTGAAAACCAGGTCCCCCCAACAGTGAGTCCTAATTAAAAATCTCAGGAATGTGTAGACTGCAGGAAGAAGGGCTATGTAAGCCTTGAACCATTTACATATTGACCTAAAATCAAACTGTTACACAGAATAAAAATAAAAGTTTATAAACTGGCTCGGTGCCTGGGGCTCAAGTGGCTAAGGTGCCAGCCACATACACCTAAGGTGGCGGGTTCAAATCCAGCCCAGGCCGGCCAAACAGTGATGGCTGCACCCAAAAAATAGCCGGGCATTGTGGCGGGTGCCTGTGGTCCCAGCTACTTGGGAGGCTGAGGCGGGAGGCTGAGGCAGGAGACTCGCTTGATCCCAGGAGTTGGAGGTTGTGGTGAGCCGTGATGCCACAGCACTCTACCCAGGGGGACAGCTTGAGACTCTGTCTCAAAAGAAAAAAAAAAAAAGTTATAAACTGTAACAGAGTAAAGAATAATAAACGATTTAAGAGGAAGAGGATATATAATTTCCTCATCCTTAATATCTGGATATAACTACTGTTTTAAGTTTGAAGCATGTGGATAAAAACCAGCATAAGGACACAAGTGATTTCAATATGAAAACATTTTTCCTTTTTCCATTTTTCAGATTATTGAATGTTTTAGAAGTAATAGCTCCCTTCAAGCACTTTAACAAGCTTAGAGAATTTGTTCAGATGAAGCTTCCTCCAGGCTTTCCTGTAAAATTAGGTAAGAAAAGAATTTAGATATAATTTTATTTAATAAGAAATATGTTTTAAAGAAAAATAGCTTTCTAGTTGCTTGCATTTTTGTAGAGAATTATATGCACTGATATTTACGTTTTGTCAGATATGTGAAGTACCTGATGGGAGTTCTAATTCTACTTGAGCACATCGCTAAATGTTACAGCTCACAGCAACCTCAAACTCAAATTTAACATTTAAACATTAAATGTTAAGGGATAAGAAGGTATTTCATACCTGTAGCTCAGCGGCTAGGGTGCCAGCCACATACATCGGAGCTGGTGGCTTCAAACGCAGCCCGGGCCTGCCAAATAACAGTGACAACTACAACAAAAAAAATAGCTGGGTGTTGTGGCAGGCGCCTGTAGTCACAGCTGCTTGGGAGGCTGAGGCAAGAGAATTGCTTAAGCCCAAGAGTTTGAAGTTGCTGTAAGCTGTGATGCCACAGCACTCTACCAAGGGTGACATAGTAATACTCTTGTCTCAAAAACAAACCAAAAACCCCTGTAAACTCTGATTTTTCCATGTATTTATCTTTCTTCTTGTGTCAGGAAACGGGAGGCGTTTTAGGAGTTTAGGCTTAAATTTAGTATTAATTTAAGCTTCACAAGAAACTTTAATGCCATCTATTGATGCAGTTCCCCAGTAATTAATCCAGGGGTCCTCAAACTTTTTAAACAGAGGGCCAGTTCACTGTCCCTCAGACCGTTGGAGGGCCGGACTGTGGGCCCCAGGACGAGTCGGCTGCTAAGCAGGACAGGCAGTGGTGGCAAAAACACCCGGCAGGCCGGATAAATGTCCTAGGCGGGCTGCATGTGACCCGCGAGCTGTAGTTTGAGGACGCCTGAATTAATCAGTGCTTTTTATGTGACAGACACTCTTCCTGGGCTGGGGGACAGAAAAAAACCTGTGCCCTCTTGCTGTTTACATTTTAGTGAGAGGGAAAAATAAATATTTACAACATACAAACTTTATATAATGTATGAGCTGTTTCTGCCAGCTTTGGGTTTATTTCATTTTTTTCCTATGTTCTTGAAGTAGAAATTTAAATTATTGAGACTTTGCTTCTTTTTCTGAAGTCTGCACTTGGTGCTGAACATTCCCTGCTCAGTGTATTTTATTCCCACTGAGGTTTCTCCTTTACTATGCAGGTTATTAAGAGTGCCCTTTAGTTTCCAGAGATTGAGGCTTCTCTTAATATCTTCCTATTGTTAATTTCCAGTTTAATTCTATTGTGGTCAGAAAAAGATAAAGTATAGAAATCAGTGAAAGAAAAAACAGAAAAATAATAGAGAAACAAAGAGCTGATTCTTTGAAAAGATCAATAATCTACAAGTTTATAGAAAGACTGGTAAAAAATGAGAGGAAGCACAAGTTTCTGACATAAGGAGTCAAAGGGAGAGCACTGTACACAGTGCGGAAATCAAAGGGGGAACAGTAAGTATGGCAAGGAAGGAAGGAAAGACGAGACGTTCAGAGTGAAGGGGAAAGAAAACCTTCCTCAATTGCAAATGCCCTGATTCTATAGGTAGAAAATTCCAAAGGTTCTACCAAAGACAAGTAAATAAACCCGGAATTACTGAGTTTATCAGGGTTGTAGGTTACAAGTTAAACATAAAAATTAGTAGTATTTCTATATACTGACATTGGACACATAGATACCTGAATTAAAAATTAAATACCATTTGAAGTCACTGAAAAAAAAAGTAGTACTTAATTAATTAAACAATACATACACAGGACTTATGTGCTGAAAACTATGCAACAATGCTGAAAGAAATGAAAAAAGATCTAAACGAATGTATTATTTCTTACTGTTGCATGTGAATCTATTAATATAATTATCTCAAGGCCTGGCACGCTGGCCCATGCCTGTAATCCCAGCATTGGGGGCTGAGGTGGGGATAGATTGCTTGGGATGAGGTGTTCGAGAACAGCCTGAGCAAGAGTGAGACCCTGTCTCTTAAAACTAGAAAAATTAGCCGGGTGTGGTGCCTATAGTCCTAGCTACTCAGGAGGCTGAGGCAAGAGGATCGCTTGAAGCCAAGATTTTGAGGTTGCTGGGCTCGGATGCCCTGGCACTCTAGCAACAGAATGAGTCTCTCTCTCTCTCTCTCTCTCT